ACGTGGGTATTTCGGATGATGATGGGACGCTGCGCTTCGACTCAAACTTCGAGTCTACATTTATAGGAACATTGGATGATTCGGATGAATTATATTCATCCAGGGAAGTCCAGGAGGATCTGTCCTTATAGCGCTCGGCTCTTTCGGTCCACAACATGTAACATTTTTTTACGTGTAGTTCAAAACACTTCAAACCTATTGTACGAAATATTTTAGTTGTCAAGTTCCGTAGTAGCTCTGAAATGTACCGATATTTCGCTACAGAAAGGTACGTGGTGATAGTGTGAGAATGTTGATCTCTCATCCTAGTCTACCCAAATTTCCGCTGCTCGATCGACATCCTGGTTTTGCTTAGACTGAGCAAAACCAGGAGCTCCGTGTTACACCAGAATGAGTTGTGAAGTACAACTTTTTTTATGGTACAACTTATAATGGTCCAAGTTGCATCGGACATCTTCGTTTGGCAGCTGAGCCGACCAAACGCAAGCGTATCCAAAGACAAATTCAACGACGAGATGCCCACTTGAGATCGCCGACGTCTCGACAGAATCCAAGCCGCCGTCTAAAGCTCAAGTCTCGGTCGAGAATGCTGTCGATCTCGTCACTCCGAGACAAAATCCCTTTCAGCGCTGTCAACGTCGGTGTGGGGGGTCTCGTGTTGGCCTCAGTCGTCGTTCTCCTGGTTAAAACTCGCAATGATTCGACTAAGCCACAGCTGCGCAAGATCCACCGCCCCGATACGACGCTGCCGCTTCTGGAAAACACACTCGATTTCATTCGTGCAGCTCGTGATGGCGACATGCACGACCGAGCGGTAGAATTATGCAGTCAATTCAATGGGGAGCCTATACTCTTTCGCTCCATAGGGATGCCTGACGAACTCGTTATCTCAACCCCCGAAGCATTCGAAGATGTTCTCAAAACCCAGTTCAACAACTTCCCCAAGGGATCTTACATGTGCCAGAACCTAAAAGACCTTCTGGGTGATGGTATTTTCGCTGCCGATGGGGACTTGTGGGTGCACCAACGCAAGACTGCGAGCAACCTTTTCACAATGAGAGCACTGAGAGACTCGATGGCAGCCACGATTCAACGCCATGCCGCTGTTCTGTTCGACATCTTGCAACGTGCAAGTGACAGTGGTGAAACCCTGGATTTGTTCAGACTACTCAATCGGTTTACGTTCGAGGCGTTTGCTGAGATCGGCTTTGGTGTTCGCATGGGTTGTCTGGACTCGGATGAGGAACACCCATTCCAAAAGGCATTCGACCATGCACAACGAGCGCTGCTCTTGCGCTTTGTACGTCCGGGTTGGTTCTGGAAAACTCAGCGGTGGCTTGGTGTGGGAGTGGAAGGCGAGCTGAAGAGCGATATCGAGGTGATCAATACCACTGTGCTGGAGATCGTCGAAAAGGCTCTAGCACGGCGCTCGTCTAACTGCAGTGATAGTGGTGTCGACACTGGCAGAGATATTGTCTCTCTCTTCCTTGACAGTGTTGGAAGCTCCCCAAATGCTAACACTCAACAATTTGACCCAATGTACCTGCGCGATATCGTCGTGAATTTCTTGATCGCTGGTCGAGACACGACGGCTCAGACACTGAGCTGGTTCTTTCTAAACCTTACCAAGAACCCTCACGTCGAGACTACCATCCGTAACGAAATCGCAGAGAAGATCCAAAAGTCTGGAGTCGAGGAAGCTGAGACTACCGGCGCAACGATGCAAGACGTGAGCCAACTCGTCACTCTTGAAGCTGCGTTAAGGGAGACGCTCCGTCTTCATCCACCTGTGCCGTTGATCCCTAAGCATGTGGCGGAGGACACCACCCTTGCTGACGGAACGTTTGTGAAGGGGAACTCCCTGGTTGTCCTCGCAACGTACGCGATGGCGCGGATGCAGCACGTATGGGGCCCCGACGCCGCTGAGTTCAAACCCGAGCGATGGATCGACTCCACAACGGGGAAACTGATCTCTGTGTCCCCTTACAAGTTCGCTTCATTCAACGCCGGCCCTCGTTTATGCCTTGGAATGAACCTAGCTATGCTTGAGATGAAGCTGGTCGTGGCAGGCTTGTTGAGCAAGTTTCACATTGAAGTGCAGGACCCGGACAAGGTGACGTACGATGTATCCTTGACGCTGCCAGTGAAGGGCTCTCTCGACGTGAAGATATCGCGTACCGTTTCCCCGACAGGGCCAGACTTTGCCTAAGAATTCGTTGTGGTCACAAGTGAAGGATGGGATGCTACCCTACTTCTGGAATATCTTTTATTTTTTACTTTAAAAAGTGAATTTATACTTTTTTTCTTATGAAAAAAGCAAAAATTACGAACAGGTACGTGCTCTATTTTTGTAGCTGCCATCATCTCAATGATTATGGTGCCACCTCAAAAAAAACTGCAACTGGAATTCATAAGGAAATCGTCCAAGAAGGAAGCACAAGTAGTACCACAAACACCAATGACGCCTTTCAAGCAGGAAGAGCGCAAGCCGCTGCTGCAGGGCGTGACGGTCGTGCACGACGGCGCCGCGCCCGCCAAGCACACGAACACATGGATGCCCGTGGACACGCCCGGTCTCGGCGACCGCTACCCGTCGCAGCAGTCTGGCTTTCTAGGCAACGTCTTCTTCTCGTGGGTCACGCCTCTCATGAAGCTGGGCAATGAGCGTCCACTCGAGAGTGACGACCTGTTCCAATTGGACCCATACAACCGCGCAGCCAACGTGTCCAAGAAATTTGCCGACGCCTGGGAACGGCAGACGCGCTCCGGCAAGCCCAGTCTCGTGTGGGCGTTGGGCAAAGCCTTTGGCTTCAAGTTCATGGTAGCAGGCTTCCTCAAGCTCATCCACGACTCGCTGCAGTTCGTCGGACCCATGATCATCAAGGACATCATCGCGTACCTGAGCGATCCGACGGCGCCGCTGTCCGAGGGCCTCACGTACGCGGCTGTCATCTTCGTATCGGGCGTGGTGCAATCGTTTGCGCTGCGTCAATACTTCTTCTACTGCTACGAGACTGGTCTGCAGTTCCGCAGCGCCATCGTCACGGCCGTGTTCGAGAAATCGTTGGTGCTGTCGGCGGCGGCGCGTCAACAACGCACGTCTGGAGAGATCACGAACCTTATGTCGATCGATGCACAGCGTCTACAGGACATGACGCCGTACCTGCACGCCGTGTGGTACGCGGCGTTCCAGATCATCGTGTCTTGTGTCTTGCTGTGGCAGCAGATCGGCGTGGCGACGTTCGCCGGCGTGGCCGTGATCTTGCTGATCATCCCGTTGATGACCGTCATCTCCAAGGCCATGCGCAAACTGCAGCAGCGCTTGATGCAGGTCAAGGACGAGCGTATCAAGATCTGCGTTGAGGTGCTCTCGGGTATCAAGGTGGTGAAGCTCAAGGCGTGGGAGAATTCGTTCGGTCAGCGCGTCATGAAGTTCCGTGACGAGGAACTGGCGCGTCTTCGTACGTACGTATTTGCACGCAGCGGGTCGAATACGATCTTCAGCTTCGTCCCGTCACTGGTGACGGTGGTGTCGTTCAGTGCGTACGTGCTGTTGGGCCACACACTGGACGTGGGCACGGCGTTGACGAGTCTGGCGCTGTTCAACATCCTGCGGTTCCCATTGTTCATGTTACCACAAGTGCTGAACAATGTGGTGGAAGCGAGCGTGAGTTTCGACCGTCTGCGCAGCTACTTTTTAGCGGAGGAGCGCACCAAGGTGGGCGAGGGAGACTTGACGGAGGTGGGCATCTCGGTACAGGGTGCAGACTTCAAGTGGGACGCAGCTCCGCCGACTGAGGGCGATAAGAAGACTGGCGACAAGAAGGAGGAAGAGGAGGCTCTGGTGACGCCCGTTGCTGAGGGCCCGACGCTGCGTGGCATCGATTTCTCGGCCAAGAAAGGAGAATTGCACGCTATTGTGGGCCACGTGGGCAGCGGCAAGTCTACGCTGCTAGCTGGTATCCTGGGCGACGCTCGTTGCAGTGCCGGCTCGGTGGCGATTCGTGGCAAGGTGGCGTACGTCTCGCAGCAGCCATTCATCCAAAACGCGACGGTGCGTGACAACATCACGTTCGGACTGCCGTTCGACGCTGACAAGTACGAGGAGGCCCTGCGCGTGAGTTCATTGAAGAAGGACCTTCGTATTTTGACTGCTGGAGACCGCACGGAGATCGGTGAGAAGGGCATCAACCTCAGTGGCGGTCAGCGTACGCGTGTGGCTATCGCCCGTGCGGTGTATCAGGACGCCGATATTTACCTGCTGGATGACATCCTGTCTGCAGTGGACAGTCACGTCGGTGCTGACATCTTCAACGAGTGCATCAAGAAGACGCTGAAGGACAAACTGGTGGTGCTCGTGACACACTCGCTGAGCTTCGTGAACCAGTGCGACCAGATCGCCGTAATTGCCGACGGAAGAATCGCAGAGCAAGGATCGTACAAGAAGCTGATGGCGAAGAAGACCTTGTTGGCTCAGATGGTGTCGAATTATGTGGAGAGCGAAAGTGAGGAAGACGAGGAGAACACGACGTCGGCTGAATCATTGGAGGACGCAATGGATGATGCGAGTGATGAGGAGGACTTGACGATCATGGGACGTCGGAAGTCCAGCGAGAGCCGTATGCACCGCCGTTCTCGTTTGTCTACACGGAGTGACGACAGCCAAGCTGGTGTTGAAGATGAAGGTCAGTTGATGGTTGAAGAGGATCGTTCTGTGGGCGACGTGTCGTGGTCGGTCTATCGCGTGTGGATCAATGCGTTCGGCGGCATTTGTGCTTCTCTCGTTGTTGTTTTTGGTTTCTTTGCCGCTCAGGGGTTGAGTCTTGTGTCGACGGTGTGGATTTCGTATTGGTCGGAGCAAGCTGCGGAGTATCCGGACTCTCAGATGTACTATGTGTACGTGTACATGCTGATCAATGTGGTGTTTGGTGTTGTGTTGTTTGTTCGTGTTATTCTTCTGTACTTGGGTTGTTTGCGTGCTAGCCGTCTGCTTTTCGGTGGCGTGCTTAACCAGATTTTGCGTGCGCCGATTTCATTCTTCGACGCCACTCCGCTTGGTCGTATTGTGAATCGCCTGTCCAAGGATATTTACACGCTGGATGAGGCCATTGCGGGCACGGTGGTTGGTCTACTCGACACTGTCGTTGTTGTCATGGTCACTTTGGTCACGGTCTCGTTCGTCACTCCTTTGTTCATGGTTATTCTGCTTCCAGTTCTTTTTGGATACTACACTTCACAGCGATATTTCATCAAGACTTCTCGTGAGCTGCAGCGTCTGGACTCCATCAGTCGTTCCCCGATTTTCGCGTTGCTGTCCGAGACACTGGATGGTCTCTCGACGATCCGTGCGTTTGGTGTTGAGAGGCGCTTCGTTGGTCACAATTATTATCTGCTGGATACGAATCAGCGTGCGTACTTCCTGAATTTTACGATTAATTGCTGGCTGGGTTTGGGTCTTGAGTTTGTTGGTACTTGTATCGCGGCTGCTGCTGCTTTTTCTGCTGTTCTTGCGCACGGCACGAATTCTGCGGGGGGTTGTGCGTTTGCTGGGTTGGTTGGTGTATCTTTCACGTTCGCGTTTGCTGTGACTCAGTCTCTTAATTGGACGGTGCGTATGCTCAGTCAGCTGCAGACTCAGATGGTGTCTGTGGAGCGTATTCAGACGTACACGGAGATGCCGACGGAGGCGGCTCTTACCAGCATTGCAGCTGAGAAGCCACCACTTGACTGGCCGACGGCTGGAGCCATCAGCTTTAACCGCGTCGACCTCCGATACCGTCCTGGTCTGCCGCGTGTGCTTCGTGGACTCACGTTCAGTGTGAACGCCAAGGAGAAGGTCGGCATCGTCGGTCGTACGGGTGCTGGTAAAAGCAGCTTGATCGTGGGTCTCATGCGTCTCGTCGAGCTGGACGCGGGCTCCATCACGATTGACGGCGTGGACATCAGTAAGATCGGCCTGCACGACTTGCGCTCCAACATCGCTATCATCCCGCAGGACCCCGTTCTGTTCTCGGGCACGGTGCGCTCAAATCTGGACCCGTTCGACCAGTTCTCGGACGACCAGATCTGGACGTCTGTGAAGCGTGCGTCGCTGCAGAAGGCCATCACTTCGTTGGACGATGCCGTGGACGAGAAGGGCTCGAACTTCAGTGTGGGCGAACGTCAGTTGCTGTCCATTGCTCGTGCGCTGCTGAAGCGGTCGAAGGTGATTCTGATGGACGAGGCCACTGCGTCGATCGACCCCGAGACGGATCGCCAGATCCAGCAGAGTATCCGAGAAGAGTTCCGTGACTGCACGACGCTGACGATCGCGCACCGCATCAACACGATCCTGGACTCGGACCGCATCTTAGTGATGGAGAAGGGCTCGGTGGCGGAATTCGGGTCGCCGACAGAGTTGCAGCGGAAACCAGACGGCATTTTCAAGTCGCTCGTGGACGCGTGGCGTCAGAACAGCGAAACCAAGAAAAACTAGACGACTTTCATGCGGTTCAATGGTAGGAAATAGTGATAGAAATTACCCGCTCAATAGTTGTTTGCTTTTACACATCCTTACTGCTTTGACAACCCCGGAGTATCGCTTCTACTCCGCGACTGGATTCACTCGGGTGAAAATTCTCCAATGATTACAGGCAATGCCCGTAATCGTTATTAATACAGGGCATCTCATGGGGCTGTATGGCCAATGATCGCGTGAAGCTTCAACATCATGTCCTTGGTCAATACTCTGATGAAGCGTTGCTTTATTTTTTTGTATAAGCATAAGCTTACCAAAACTCGATAACCCCGCTGCTGGAAAGCCAGAACGGCCCTCCACGGATTTGGAAGAAATCTACCAAACTCATCGAATGAAACATGACCGGTGTAGGTTTCACGTGGAAGTGATGAACCCGGAAGACGTGACTTTCCGTTGGCTAACCGCGTTCAGCATGAAAGTTTCACGCGATCACTGGCTTGTAAATGGCCTATTGGCATTAACACGAAACGAGCATGGATGAATGAACTGTAAACTGCCGTCTGTATCAAAGATGAGGCAAAATGCAAATCCATGGGCCCATGGGTTCCATCGGTTTCTGTCTTTTTATCGATTACCCAACGAGCCATTCATTATCCCCGTCCCAACAGGTTCATTCCGGAATTCTCCGCCAAGGCCACAAACGTTCAAGATGCTGACAATCGATCGCATGACCGACAAACTCTCGTCCAGCATTGCGATCGCTGCACTCAGTGGCCTCGTCGTACTTCCATTGGCATGGCGCTTACTGGTCGCTTCCAATACTAACAGCAAGTCACAGCACGGGACTCGCAAGGTGTTGCGTCCTTCAACGACTAAACCGTTGCTGGGCAACACACTCGACGTCATTGGCAACGTCCCTATTCGCCACGACTGGATAGCCAATTTGTGCTTGGAAGCCAAGGGAGAGCCCGTACTGCTTCAATCTCTAGGAACTCCTGACATGACGCTGCTCTCGACCCCTCAAGCGTTCGAAGATGTGTTCAAGAACCAGTTTGACAACTTTCCCAAAGGACCGAAGAAGGCAGAGTATCTGCGTGAACTGCTGGGAGAAGGAATCTTCGCAGTGGATTACGAAAAATGGCACCGTCAGCGTAAAACAGCGAGCAACTTGTTCACTATGAGAGCTCTGAGAGATTCCATGACGAGTACGATTCAGCGTCATTTGGTTGTCTTGGAGCGGATCTTCCATCGGGCAGCGGAGACCAATAAGACGGTGGATATGTTTCGGCTTCTGAATCGCTTCACTATGGAGGCGTTCACGGAGATCGGCTTTGGGGTGCACATGAATTGTCTGGATGCCGCCGAGGAGCACCCGTTCCAGACTGCATTCGATCGCAGTCAGCAGTTGTTTGTACTGCGCTTCGTCAGACCAGGTTGGTTCTGGAAACTTCAACGTTTCCTTGGCATTGGAGCCGAGGGTCAAGTGAAAAAGGACATGGACGTGATCAACTCGACTATCTTCGATATCGTAACCCAGACACTCGAACACCGTGCCAAGGGAACACAAGATGATGAAGGAGGAGGCAAAGACATTGTGTCCCTGTTCCTGGATGACCTGAACAAATCGGGGGATGTAGACGAAGGCTGCTTTGATCCTACCTACCTCCGAGACATTGTCCTGAACTTCATCATTGCTGGTCGTGATACCACAGCACAAGCGCTGAGTTGGTTTTTCTACTGCCTCAGCAAAAATCCCGATGTGGAAACCAAGATCCGCGAGGAGGTGGCTGCAAAGCTGCCCAAGTTGGTCAGTGGACAATGCAGTCCGTCCATGGACGAAGTGGGTGAGCTCATTTACGTGGAGGCTGCGTTGAGGGAGACACTACGACTGTATCCATCTGTCCCCATTGTCAGTAAGCAAGCAGTTCATGATACGGTGCTGTCTGACGGCACTTTCATTGCTGCTGGGACGATGGCTGGATTGCCGATGTATGCTCTAGGACGGATGCCTCACGTGTGGGGTCCCGATGCTGCCGAATTTAAACCAGAACGGTGGATCGACTCTGGCAAACTGATTTCCGTCTCAGCTTACCAGTTCGTGGCATTCAATGCTGGCCCCCGTCTGTGTCTTGGCAAGAACCTCGCGATGCTCGAGATGAAGTTGATCGTAGCGTCCTTGTTGAGTAAGTACCATGTCGAGCTGGAGAATCCTGAGAACGTGACGTACGCCATCTCGTTCACACTCCCCGTGAAAGGACAACTCAACGCCAAGATCAGTGCAGTTTAGTCATGTGAAACCCATTTGTTGAAAGGCTCCTATCACACCCACGTAAGGACTACTTAAGTAATTGACACACAGCTTACGTAATGTTAATGATGAATTTTTAGTGATGGTAGAATTAATAATCCTTATTAACCTGCTCCTTAAGTAAGCATTCCAAATATGATTGAAAAAAAAATTCAAAATACCAACTCAAAATAGGTCACCAGAAATACCATCATGCAGGTTTGTCAAAAGTTTGGCAAGACAGAACGCCATGCGAAGCAATAAAGTTGACAGTACCAGGAGTTCCGACGCTCTGGAACCTCCAACAAGCACACAAGGTCGATTACCCTCGACACGAAAACGATTTTGGGAATGTCTTGAAGAAAAATGGAACGGGATTCAAGTCGGACACCAGGGTGCGTACTCAGTTGAGCGCCTCGAGAGTTTCGACTACTACTGTAAAACGACCTCCTGGACCCGAGTCATTCTGGTCTGTCTGCTCACGCCAATTCCCGCACTATTGACTGCATTATTGCTAGAATGCCTGCCACTCCAGCCTCCATCCGAAGGGTGGGCTGCAAACTGGGTATTCTGGATCCGCTTGACGTTGGCAACAGTCATATTTGGTTTTGTTGGAATGTCCAAACTCGTGACGCTTGTTCCGGACCTTAATCCTACGTTCAAAAGGCGACAGCTTGTAGCTTGGGGTGCCAGTGCTGCCTACGTGGGGACCGCTGTACCTGCTGCAATTATACTTGGATTTCCGATACCTCTGATGTGGTATGTTGGAGGATTCTTCGTCGTAATACACTTCCAGGCGATGCTGTTACTTGTCTTTGGATGGAAACCATTTCGGATAAGGTCACGGAATCTGCAGCGATTTCTTTCTTACCATGCTGCATTCATGACGTTGGCCAACATCTACCCGCTCTACAAAATACTTTACGGATTTGTACCAGTACGATATCGAGGTATTGTAGCTGTTCTGGTGTTGCCGATGTGGAGATTTTTAGCTAGGCAATTTATCGTGAAATTAACACGTGGGCTGGAGGATTTTATGGCCCAAATTGTCGCAATGACAATCGATCTCTTCAGTGCTCTCTTCGTCTCAGCGTGCATGTCTACCACAACATCAACGTATCTTTCGATGATTTTCATTGCGGCAGATATTGGTCAATCTCTACTTGAAGTTTGGGATATTCACTTGTATGCGAAAACAGTCTTACAACTACTTCGTTCTTCTCAACATTTCAATGGGGAATTGTCAAAAGATTCCCCTTTCTCCACAAACGCATGCACTTCCAACCTAGTGGCTTGGATTCTTGCAGTGACTCGTGATCCTCATGCATTTCACATAACTTCATTGAAAGACGTACGTCTGAGAGCCTGCTGCCCTCATCCGATGTCAGAAGAACAAGAGCATACATTGCAGGAACTGGAGATGTCTGGCGTGTATAGTGACATAGTCTCCAGTCAAGCGCTGCACCAACTACCTCGAGCGATACGTGTAGGAGTGGCGCCAGATTTTCCCACCAACTGCAACCAAATAACAAAATTCACTGCGAAGTCTGCAGCTACAGACAGAAAAATTAACGATGCACACTTTGCCGACCAGGATTCGACCGAGGATGTCAGGCACTGTCGTGCATCTGCAAAGAGATCAGAAAGCCTAGTTCGACAGGGTCTTCGGCTCTTGTTTCATTGTAAATACTTGACGTTGGTAGAGTACGTCGAGTGTGTTGTACCGCTGATATTCGTGACATTCAAGTCAGTGCTCAAACACCTACCGAATGCGATTTACTACCCTGGCGGTGCTGACAATTGGGAGACCGGAGCAGTGACGAATATCCTGGTATTTGCCGCGCTTGAGATTTCGTCATTACTGCTGTTGCATTTTTTCCTGCAGCGCAAGTTTTCCTTTTCTCCACTCTACCAGCTTGCATTCACCCTTGAAACGCAAATATATATCGTGCAAGCAGAACTCTTTATCGAAATTCTGTTCCTGTTGCAGTATGAACTCGAGCATTATGGTAAGCAAAAAAATATGTTACAGATCTAGCTTTGAGAAATGAGATTATCGTTAACACACATATTCCTGCTACAGGCACAGATTTTACGTTTCAGTTTAAGTGGCTCCACGATTCAAATCACTAGACGAGCTGGTTAGGAACTGGTAGATTTACTATTCACAAGCGCATTAACGAGAAGTTAACCTGCTCTACCCACAGCCTTGGGCATCTTCTTTGTGCGAGCGTCCTCGACTTCCTTGGTTTTATAATAATGCGGTGCAAGCTCCATCAGCCACTCAGACTTAATGGGGATCACATTGCGCATATACTCCTTTGTCGTAAAGGCCAGTTCGTGATACACCACCCAACGCGGGACTTCCTCTAGTTTTATAAGGCACGAGCTCGGGTGGATGTGCACAGATTGGGCCTTCTTCACGGTCTTGTAGTGTCCAGAGTTGTCCAATTTGGCAGTATTGTAGAAGTAACCAGCGCAAATAGCCTTACGGATGGGCTCATGATCACTGCGGTTGCTAGTGCGCTCAAGCTCCACGCGGTCGCAAAGACCTTCCAGTTGCTCCCGAACATCTCGAGCAGTTTTTAACGAACGCATGATGACAAAGTTCTCGTAAGTCCATTGCGTCGAATAGTTCGTCTCCACCCACTGATTGTAGACGTTCATCAACGTGATGTGGTCTCCACCGCCACCTCGCGCGAAGTTGAGACGCGCGTTATCAGCGTGGACTGCCTTGTCCTTCGGTCGGTAGAAGATCGAGTTGTTCACACTTAGCATGGCACAGACCGTCATCACTTCTTCAACGCAGCCAAACTTCTCCGAAGCAAGCAGCGCCTTGGACATCATGGGATCCAACGGGAACTCAGCCATGCGACGACCCAGCTTTGTCAACTCACCTAAACCATTCAAGGCCCCAAGAGCGTAAAGCTGTTCAAGTGAGCGAATAAGTGCCTTTTCTGGTGGAGGATCCATGAAGTCGAAGTGGAGAAGATCGTTGATTCCGAGCGATTTCATAAGCAGCACCACACTGGCAAGGTTTGTGCGTTGAATTTCTGGCACGGTGTTCTCGTCCAACTCGTTCTTGTACGACCACGCCGTGTACAGACGGAAACACTTGCCAGGAGCTGTACGACCGGCTCGTCCCGCACGTTGGTTGGCCATAGCCTGTGAGACTGGAGCCACCAATAACGACTCCATTCCAGTCTGTGCATTGTAGTTAGTCTGTTTACAGAAGCCCGTGTCGATCACGTAGCAGATACCTGCAATGGTCAGTGAGGTCTCGGCAATATTCGTACTTAGAACCACCTTGCGAGCCCCTTCCGGTGTTGGCTCAAACACTTGGGCTTGACGTTCGGAAGGCAACGTCGCATAGATCGGTCGAATGAGTAACTCGCGTATTCGAGAGCCAAGACCGCGAGTTCTTTGGAGTAATATCTCCTCTGCAGCTTCAATCTCTTCTTGACCTGTAAAGAACACGAGAATGTCTCCAAGTGGTTGGGTGATGTGGATCTGCAATACTGTAACGATCGCAGCATCCAAATAATCCGCCTCGGGAGCCTTCGTGTACAGAATATCCACAGGAAACATCCGCCCAGGGATCTTGAAAATCGGGGCATCGTCAAAATAAGCGCTGAACTTGGTGGCATCCAGAGTCGCACTAGCCACAATGATCTTGATATCGTCACGGAACCGAGCGATATCCTTGATCAGACCGAACAAAATGTCGGTACTAAGCGTGCGTTCGTGAGCTTCGTCGATGATCATGACGCTATAGGACTTGAGATCAGGTTCAGTTAAGAACTCTCGGAGCAACATGCCATCTGTCATGTACTTGATCACTGTCTTGTCGCTAGTACAGTCCTCGAAACGAATCGAGTAGCCCACTTCATTACCCAATTTCACATCCATCTCCTGAGCCACTCGAGCTGCTACACTCATCGCAGCGACACGTCGAGGCTGTGTACAGCCAATAATACCGAGTTCCGAGTACCCAACTTCATGCAAATACTGCGGGATCTGCGTCGTTTTACCGGATCCGGTCTCTCCTTCAATGATAATCACTGGATAATTACGGATCGCCTCCAACAGAGACTCTCGATACGGATACACTGGCAGCTGTTTCCTTCCTTCTTGGATACTCAAATGTTTGGCCTGTTCCATCTTCTTCCTCGCCTCTTGGACATCTTCGTCACTCACATGATGTCCCGACAACATCTGCTGCGAGATGAAATCTATCTGGTCGTCGAATACGAACTCGTCTTCTTCCTGTATCTCCTTGTGTTTATCCTTGGCTCCAAATCTACTGGTAGCCATCTTCACCTGCGTTTCTTCCCATACTTCCTGCTCAGTATGGACCACTTCTTCCTCTTCGTATCTGTCCGTTAAAAGGTCCTGTTTCTTCCGGATTCGATTGCCCTCATCGTCCACTTCTTCGTAGGAATCTGGAATCTGATACCCGTCGACTTCTTCTTTCTTAGATCTGGCCTTGGCTGTCTCTAAGATCCTCTTATTAAGTTCCAGTTGATGCTGTTCCTTTTTGGACCTTTTGGTCTCTTGGAACAGCACGTCCTCGTCTCTTAATTGGAACTCGAGTAGCTCTAATTCCTTCTCCTCCCTCTTTTTAAGGTACTCTTGTCTACTGAGTTCCCTCAATTGGTTAAGTTTTTCGCTCTGTCCGGCGTCAAGTGTCCCTCGCTTGGCGAGCTGCTTGATCTCGTCCTTTGTGAGTCCACCGCGGCCCTCAATCTCCTCGGCCTTGCGCTTGTGTTTGGTGCGTTCCTCATCGCGTTGACGCAGCCGTTCGGCAAAGGCGTCGCGCTCCTCACGATCGCGTAGACGCTCGCGCTCGTCGGGCGAAAGTTTGGCCTCGTCTTGCGCAGTCTCTAGCTCGCGTTTGGAGCGGAAGTCACTGATAATTTCGACGTCAGAGCCATCACCTTCGTCTTTGTAACCAGACTGAGCATTGTCGCCGCTGTCAGAGCGTCGGCGGCGACGGGAGAAGCCGTCGGAGCGACGCGACCTGCGCTCGGTGTTGCCACGAGCCATTTGGTGTCGGAAATATAAAAATGGGGTGGTGAAAAATAAATAGTGCCCAAATATTAGCATTAGGTTATTTTATGCCCAAGCAAAATTATTCAAAGCAGACCTGTTGACATTGTGCTCGGCAGCATCTACTTGAGATGCCTTCTTGACAATCGAGATCGGTACTATGGTAGGATTGCACCCGTCGTATTGGTTCCAGAGGAACACCGGGTCATTTTGGCATGGACAGCCTGGGTGATCAGCCTCCTTCGACGCCATTGTTGCAGTGCCAAATCACGAGATTGCCATTCTTGTAGCCTCATGCCAGTCATCTATTACCTTTTTTTTTAAAAGCTTGGAAGTACGAAACGCGTTTCAAAACACTCTGCGTCACCCGATTTGTTCAGGTCATCCAGGAACAGGGACACAATGTCTTTGCCTCCTCCTTCATCATCTTGTGTTCCCTTGGCACGGTGTTCGAGTGTCTGGGTTACGATGTCGAAGATAGTCGAGTTGATCACGTCCATGTCCTTTTTCACTTGACCCTCGGCTCCAATGCCAAGGAAACGTTGAAGTTTCCAGAACCAACCTGGTCTGACGAAGCGCAGTACAAACAACTGCTGACTGCGATCGAATGCCGTCTGGAACGGGTGCTCCTCGGCGGCATCCAGACAATTCATGTGCACCCCAAAGCCGATCTCCGTGAACGCCTCCATAGTGAAGCGATTCAGAAGCCGAAACATATCCACCGTCTTATTGGTCTCCGCTGCCCGATGGAAGATCCGCTCCAAGACAACCAAATGACGCTGAATCGTACTCGTCATGGAATCTCTCAGAGCTCTCATAGTGAACAAGTTGCTCGCTGTTTTACGCTGACGGTGCCATTTTTCGTAATCCACTGCGAAGATTCCTTCTCCCAGCAGTTCACGCAGATACTCTGCCTTCTTCGGTCCTTTGGGAAAGTTGTCAAACTGGTTCTTGAACACATCTTCGAACGCTTGAGGGGTCGAGAGCAGCGTCATGTCAGGAGTTCCTAGAGATTGAAGCAGTACGGGCTCTCCCTTGGCTTCCAAGCACAAATTGGCTATCCAGTCGTGGCGAATAGGGACGTTGCCAATGACGTCAAGTGCTTGATCATGTCGTGCTGCTTCTTGCCCAGCGTCTCGACCTGCCGCAATCAATCAAACATATCGTTATTGCACTGTAAAATAGACTAAAAACACTGCAAATTCCGTTGCCTTACGTTGCTTCTGACAAGCTCCATCTCGCGCACTTTGACGCCCTTTCCTACGGGAGGAAATTTCTCGGGCTCGTCACTTTTGGCTTAGAGCTGCGACGCTGTTAAGTGATCTTGGTGTGATCATCGTGTGATCATCGACGTAACTTCATCCATCTTCATTCGTGCCCATGCTTTGGAGTGGCTCAGACAATACAAACGCATTTCTCTAATATTTCAGTTCCGTTTCTATTGCTCGTTGTGAAGCCACTTGAATTGAAGCGTGAAATCGGTTCCTGGGTAAAATGAAACCAAGTAGTTAGTTATTTTGTCCATTTCAAAGCTGTTCGCGTACCATAGTGCTCGAGTTCATACTGTAGCAGAAATATGATCTCGATGAAAAGCTTTGCCTGGACTAAGTAGATCTGGGTATCCAGGACAAATGCGAGCTGGTACAAGGGAGAATAGGCAAGCATCCGCTCTAAAAAGAAATGCAAAAAAAAAAAAGAAACAGAGATGCAATTTCCAACAGCGCGAACGTGACGATATTAAGCACTGCTGTGGTGGCGAAGGTGCCAACTCCACCAGGATAGTATACCACGTTGGGTAGATGTTCTACCAGCAATCTGAAAGTCAGTTAAACGAAAGGTACGACACACTCCAAATACTTACCCGTTAATGGCTGCTTCTTGTTAGTAATAATATTAAGCTCACTCTATTTACAACCAAGTCGAGTAACTACGCGGGGAGAGGGTGATCCGAATCAGCTTGTTAACCCGAGACGATGTTTGGAGGATAAAACCTGCGTTATCCGCAAGCAACCTTACTCCAGGGGACAAGTATCGAGATTCCGCTCGATCAAAGCATCTGTCACCAGTCTCGTCGTTTTTAGAATTGAGGAAGGGCAAGGCTAAACAGGCCATGGCACCCGTCCCAAAATCGAATATGACAACCACGTTTCGCAACTTGGGAGACATAATTCAAACTCCTAAATCGGTCGAAGTTGCTCTAAGGATAGCCCAAAATACGAAATTTTAGAGCACAGCACGAATCAGGAGATTGAAAACAAAAACGCTACTAGGTGTTCTCAATCTTAGCAAGTGCATCGATGTACTGTACCACTTCAAAATCATAAATGAGTATAAATGCATGTGTGCGAAGAAAATCGGGCCCATAAGAACTTTCAGATATATCGTTCCGCAGTGACGTACCAACAGCAATATACTATTGTAACAGGGCTGGTACGGTACCTGACGGACGAGTTGGTGTGTGGCACACAGCGGTTGGGCCAGGATGCGCGACCGACGAAGCAGACGAGCAGCGGCCGAGAACGGAGGGAACTGCGGATGTGCTGAGCGGTCCAAACGAAGGCTCTTGCTTGTGTGTGACTCCGCAGTCAGGAGAATGCAGTGAGGCACCGCTGAACGACGAGCTGGAGCGAAGAGAGTGGCACCCTGGCGACGTGCGCCAGAAGGAGGCAGCTGAGGGCGCTCGACAGCAACAGCAGCAGCTTGAAGAACGAGGCAGGAGAGGCCGAGCCACGACGAACTCAGTCTGGAAACGGAGACGAAGGTGGCAAGTCG